AACTAATAATCATAATGTTATTACACATTCTTTTAAAAATTATTTTCGAACAATAGCTGGACAACATCAATACCTATAATGTTTATCGGCATTTTCTGTGATTTGAAGAAAACCTTTGTCTGCGTCAATATGTGTCTGTCTATGTCTCTGTCTGAAGTAGAATTTTATGGAATGATTGGTAAGGCCAATGTATTGATGAAATCCTATGTGAAAGATAGTTACCTCTTTTACTTATTGGAGGAATAATTCAACTCCAATATTAATTAATGATCTCGGCCTGTTATATGCTCGATGCCTAGTAGTATACTTTTGTGTTTCATTATTGTAGTCTTCTGTCATTAGTGTGCTGCATTCTTTCACATATATTTTTGAAAACTGTGTTAATGATTTACTCACCGTGAGTTGTCTTTGATAATATGTGTAATTGTTATGGGTTAAATATAAATAATTTTTATTTATATCATTCATTGGATTTGTTCTGTTGTCTTTGACTATTACTGTATATCCACTCTTCTTCCAGCCATGTAAGGATTAATGGAACGTAAATAAATGAATGAATGTCTGTTGTAGTACATGAGCTAATGTAGCACCATGTTTGTAATGTTTACTGATGAATTATTTCAAGGTTTTGAGACAATATGTAATAATCTTACAGGGCTATGGTATGGGCAGGAGTTGTGTTATCCTGTACTACTGATTCTGCTAGAATGCTGTACGATAAATTTCTGTGCAGCAAATATTTCTCTGAAAGTGATTTCACTACAGCTGAAAGGGTACGCCTTAACAGTGTTGCAGTTCCATATGGCACAGATTCTGCTGCACAGTCACTCCCACAACCTCCTGATCCTTCATTACACACCCCTTCCTTTGATCCCTTGCTTTCAGATTTATCCCCTGTATGTGACCTTAATGTCCTACCGCCCACCAGAACCTACAGCAAGACACTTATGCCCTCTCCTCTAGCACCTGTTCCTATCCATGCAGACAGCCATTCCACTTCCTTTGAAATGTCTGCAATCCATTCGTCACCATCAGCAGGCAACACTTCTTCAGTGAAAGAAACCTCCTATCTCTTAGGCTATGAAAATATATATGCTTCTGATGGGGCACTCAGGCATATCAGTTGTCAAAGTTCCTCCTCAAAGCCCAGAGCAAGGCGTTCTCTGCTGAAAGAACTTAATTTGGCTTCGCTTTCTGAATTGACACTGAGGAAAAGGAAATTATATGCACAAATTCGGAATAATGAGAGTGCACTTTGCAAACTGAAAAAGAAATACAACGGAAAGAAGTTGGAAAATCTTTGTGATGTGGACAGTGATCCACTCATGGAGAGACTTTCATGTTCTCTCAGTGTAGAGGCTGCCATTTGGCAGCAATTATTAGGAACAGCAGGCAGAGACCTCAGGGAAGGCGGTGGGATTTTGAAGAGAAAGTGTTGGCTCTGTCTCTCCTTAAGCATAGTCCCAAATCCTATATCCTTCTCCGCACACTACTCTCCCTCCCATCCAGATGATCCTTGCAGTCTGTCCTCAATACTGTTCCATTTAGGACAGGCATCAATGCTCATATGTTTCATGCACTCGAACAGTCTCTGCAGAAAATGTCTGGTAGAGATCGATATTGTTGTCTCATGTTTGATGAAATGTCAATCAGAGAGAACTTGCATTTCAATCAGAAGTTTGACTGCATTGAAGCTTTTGAGGATTGTGGAAGTCAGGACAGGACTTGCAGCATTGCAAATCATGCTCTGCTCATCATGATCCATGGCAGTGCAGCAACAGAAACTCCTGTGCAGCGAATGATAACATCGGCATCCACAGTTCAATTGCACACAAGAAACCTACTTTGAACTTGAACTCCATCTCTTTCCCACTTTGCAAACATGTTGCAGTGAATGATAACATGGTCAACCACAGTTCGATTACATACACGAAACTTATTTTGAACTTGAGCTCCATCTATTCCCCTCTTTGCAAACATGTTTCCTTCGTCTCAGAATATTAGAACTTCACTTGGTCAGAGTTCATTCTGGCCTTTATCTTCAGCAAATTATATTTCAACCGAGAATTGTATGGGAAATTGTTTTATGACACACATGGGTCTTGTTTATGTGTAGGTAAGAATGAAGAGGCATTACTTTATAACTGACTTGCAAAGTTCAGGTTATCCACCTCAGTGTGAAACTCTGAGAAGCAGAATCAGTATCAGGATTGAATGTGGGTAGGACTATTTATGTAATTTCTTTACCTGTTTCATGAAATGTATCCAATACTGAAGTGGAAAGGTTTATATCTTTCCATTACTGACCTGGAATATGAATAGATACCAGATTGTCAGTATTCATAAATTTCTTTGTAAGATATATGTTACTTCTGCCATATAANCCTTTCCATTACTGAACTGGAATTTGAATAGATACCAAATTTTCAGTATCCATTACATTTATTTAAGATATGTTATTATTTCTGCCATAGTATTCTGCCCAGTACTGAACTAGTGAAGATGAATATATCACATTTTCTTATATCTTTAAATGCAGTCTTAATCTTGTTGCCAAGGGTGTATTTCACATTCTCGAATTCCATCATTCTAATGAAAATAATAATAAATGGGAACGTGAGTACTGTTGCTTACAGTGCTCACGTTTTATAATATACTTAAATATAACCTAAAAACTATGTTCTATATGGCTCTCAAGTGTATGTTATGAGAAAATTATGAGGTTTATTACATGTATCTCTGATGGAAAGAGAATTTTCTTTCAAGTTTCCCCACCTTCACCTTTGTTAAATACAACTATTTCATGTTTGTCACAGTTCACAATGTTCAGTGCCTTTGGTTAGAGAGGTGTTTCAGGTGAAAGAAAGGTTATGATTTTCCAGGCACTGATGAGAAACTTTCTCCAGATAAATAATTTGCAACTTAATCTCTTGTACTCCAGAGCTGCAGAG